ACCAACAAAAAAATCCTACATTACCCAATGTTTTCTGTGTTTATTTATCAATTGAATGCGCCCAATGAACTCAATCGACTCAGTTCAAGAGATGAACTGCCTGATAGCTTGTTTAATATGCACATTTATATCTAGCGTAGGTGTCTATTACTAAGTAAATGATGTAAGTACTATCTTTTCCTACTTCCACGCAGTCAGGTATATACAAAGGACATATAATTATAAAGCTTGTTCTAAGTGGGCTTTACAGATTAGGCCTACGTGTTTAGAAATCTAAGGTCAAGAGAAAAAGTATAAGTTTAAAATAAAATTAAAAGTGAAGTATATAAAATGAGAAAGAGTAAAGCATTTAAATCTGAGATCAGTTATTTGGAAAGAACGCCATTGATTAGGAAGTAAATAATAATTAGGAAAATACCATAATCATAGCCTTACAGGATGCATCACGATAATTAATACATTTGCACATTGATAAAACAATACAAATTATAAAGATACAAGCCTGTGTTGGCCCTCTTTATTCAGATAATCTACTATTCTTAGCATTGAAAATAACATAAGAAACTAATTTTTGTTTATAAAGTAGGCTTGCGGGTGCACCATGTGAGAGAGAGAGAGGATTGAGGAGTCCTGAAAAGGACTCTGACTCGGTAATCTTTCTTGGGGGTGTGTAGTCTAAGAGTGTATTTATGCTCAACTTTTCTGGCCAGAATTAGGTACCTGTTACGCGTTTAGTTCAAACTACGGTTGCGTCCTTTCTCATTTTTGTAGAATCACCGAAAAACGGCGATCACGATCGCCGATCGTAAACTCACAAAAAGGTGCGTTTACGATTTGTAAACGCGTTTAAATGGGGTCAACGCACTGACCTCTAGTGGGTCTACGTAGCATGCGCACACAGGTTTGCGAATCCAGCTAAAGGCCACCCAAGGAGAATTGGCTGGAGGGGCCAGAGAAGTGAGCATAAACAGTGCACCGTGGAACTGCGGATACGATGAGCGTTTACGATGAGCGTTACAAATCGCTCATTCTGCCTTCAAAAATTGAGCTTAAACGCACCCTAAGAAAGATAACAAATAATCCTTTTCAGGACTACACACCCCAAGAAAGATTACCGAGTCAGAGTCCTTTTCAGGACTCCTCAATCCTCTCTCTCTCTCTCTCACAGTCATGGTGCACCCGCAAGCCTACTGTATATCTATATTAACATGCAAGCCGACACTTACAAGCAGCATCTAATTTTTGGTTGTTTTCAACCTGATTTAAATATCAAGATTGAAAATACTAAAATAAGAAAGAAAAAGAAAAGCCTTGATTTGGTGACTTCTCATCAGAGCAATTTATTAATATGCGCGGCCGCACATTAGCTGCAAGACTGATTACATCCATCGTAGGCTATAGTAGGTGTAAGACTTGAAGCTTATCCAAATCTAAAACAATCCTCATGACTTTCTAATTTATTGAAATGAATAATTTCGAGCAGTTTCGAAGAGATACGCCTGCAGAGGTGTAGGTGGCTCGGAGGTGGCTTGTCAAAGATATGGTAAGAATACACAGGTCGTATCCTTTTGAGTGCACGTTGGTTAATATTCTTCCCCATAGTTCTATTGCACTATATCGAATTCATTCACAATGCTAACAAAATATACAAGATATTGGTTCACCAGAACCATAACGTTTGTGTGAACGTTTCTTTTTTTGCTTATAACATTATTACCACCAAAAGACTTTGGTGCACTGAACCAATATTGTACTGAATGGGTTTCCATCCATTATCATATGCTATTATAATATGATATTTTCAGGGATTATCTTTATGTCATAACTATAAAGAATAACTTTAATGCTCCATGTTTAAAGGCATCGTTTAAAAATGTTAAATCTGAGATGCACGGCCCTACTTGTTATCAGTGTCTGTAATATGGTATAATATTGAAGCCCTAGCAAGAAATCGCACTTCAAAATGATCAAGAAGTGCCTCAAAAAAGTAAAAATCTTTGAGTGACCCCCAATAGACTGTAGTGTTATGAAGACCGTTTTGCAAACGCAAAATTTGGTTTTGATTTCCAATCATAAATATCTTGATAATAATACAGGCGATCGGCTTGTAAAAGTCATGGGGTTCCTGACTGACCTAACGGTTTATAATAATCATTACATCAGAATACAGAATCTGAGACAAAGTTACCGGATCCCTTTAAAGGGAAATACAATAGGCTATTTTCGTAATGTAACAAAATTTACTGGAACTAATGGACATGGCTACAGACTAAGAAGCCACGTCTAAAAATTGCTTTTGTGAAGTGCCTCGATACAAATTATCTCCTTCACCTGTTACAAATAATAGTATCTCAATAGTCAGAATGCGAATTGAATACAGTTGTTGATTTGTTGGTAGGTAGGACAAACATAGGGTGCGTTTATTGACCAAATTTTTGCCTAGAATCAGGTTTCTCAAACGTCTTTCAGGCAAATTTTGAAGGTGATAAACGCAAAGCCTTTTTTAAAGGTCTTTAGATATGGGCATATCTAAAGACGCAAAAAGGTGTGTTTTTGATGTGACATACAGCCAGAATCACGTTTCTGAGAGATGATAAACGCAAAGCTGTTTTGAACCCCACATACAAATCGGACCTCCCAGGTTAATTTCCGGTTCGGAGGCTAGCGCGCTATGTGTTGTGTTATGTTGCTGTACAAGCACGTGTGTGTAGTTGACATCCGAGAAACTGTCTGCTTCCCAGGTCAAACGACGCTGAGCAGCTGCGCAGAGACAATGCCTTTATTGTGAATCGTGAAGAGACGATAAACGCGACATCCCGCAAATCACGATCGTATTATGGGGTTCGATAGTGGGGTATGATAGTGGGGTACGATATGTACATATCTAGTGGCAAGACCCAATAAACGCACCCGTTATGACTTACGCTACCTATCAACATACACACACACACACACACACACACAAAATGCATTTTGCATTCTGGTTATTAAATATACAATGATTCGTAACAGATGAATGAAATATTTGTATTTAAGCACTTCACAAAGATGTCTGCATTTAATTAGGTTACATCGCTTCCCATATAACCGGAAATGGATTCACATAAAACAATCAGCCTGAGGGTGAATTTGACTGCATCTAACGGTGCATGTGTATTCAATCTGATTGTACGTAAGCATCCCCCTAATACACATCAATGTATTCTCGATATAAGGAATGTCCTGCATATATTTTACACCTGCGTAGATGCAGATGCAGCCGTATGAACAATTAGCGTTGCAATTGTGTTTTAGCTTGGGTTTATAGCTTTGCTCAGGTAGGTGTCAAGGTTATAACTAAGTCCAATTTTCTGTTTGAACTTAATAAAACAAACAGAACAGTTTCATGTCAGCTGACATGGCACCACATTCCCGTTTATTATGTCTTGAATCTGTTATATATCGTGGAAGTTGGGTAATCCTCGCTTTCGCCAATACCCCCGAATGCCCCGATGTTGACCGCTTGGACGTAATTTCAAAGTACTTCCGGTACTTCCATGCCTTCAGTGCATGCGGCGCGTGCGCCGCATGCTCTCTTGTTGGCTGATACTGACCTCATTGGATTTTTTTTTTACAAGTCCATGATTTTTCAAGAAGCAATAGGCCTACTTTGGTAATACCACCGCGTGTCCATCATTTTGTAATTGTTCTTTGTCAAAATGCCGCAAACATAGTCGCGATCGTGCAGTGATTTCAAACTTGTCTTTCCTTCTGAGCAACTTTTCCATGTCGCGCGCTGCTTAAGATTTGTTGGGAATTTTACCAAAGTCACATCTATATACAGGAATATCTCCGAATGTTTTTTCGCTTATTTATTATCGTGCGGCCAGCGAACATCAGATCGAATCACAGTGTCGCACCATATTCCAACTGACAATTCAGTTTGTAAAAGTAGAAAATTGCGCACGATATACTATCAAAAAGAGCCGAAGATGAAGTGAAAGGTAGAATGTAGGCAGCAAGCGAGCTCGGTGACTATACAAGGAGACGCGCACACGTACACGTACACAGCTGCGTGAAATGGACCGGAAGCGACAAAGACAACAAGCTATCCCAGAGTGCATTTGAAATCGGGACAATAAATTTACATCCGGGCTTTTTGATGTATTGGCGATAGCGAGAATTGATAGAGCCTTATAGGATGTGAAAATCTTCGACAAGTTTGTCTAATTCAAGCTGGTTCCCGTGGTTTTTTTATTGAGATGACGGCAGTTGATGAGATAAAAAGTGAATCTACGCAGCATTAATTCAGTCTTGATTAAAAAAGAAAAATGCTGGTGCAAAAAAAATGAACAAATATCACAGAATTCCAATGACGTATAATGTTTCAGATATAACCATCCCAATACAACAATGAACAAGGAAATAATGATAGCTCACAAACGAAACAAGAAAGATTACGATTTTTAGCCAATCGGGACTATACGCAACAATTTAAGATTTTAACAACTATTCCTGTTGGTGATTCGTCTTTGTTAATCACATTCTTATAATGTCGTTGCTATTAATTTGATATCAGGATTATTTATTTATTGCATAAATAACAACTCAACGATAACTTTTACACAATTTCATTCATTTAAATTTCAAATTCATATAAAACGAGCATTTTAAGCTAATGTCGTCGTCTTATGCCCATTTGCCAGTAATAGCCAACAGCCACTAACATTTAAACATTAAATGATACACTGAAAATTACATGCGGAGTGTGCTTATAATATGACCTGCTATCTCGAAATTAAAAGAAAGTCAGTCATGTGAACAAATCTAACCGTCAGAGGTAATACCTCGATAGTTAGATGAGTCAATTAACTTCAATTCTTTATTTCTTTCTTTCATGATTTTTTTAATTTCTTGTGTTGTTGTTAATTGAATAATCAAATTTCACCAAAACATGTGATAACATTTCTCTTATTTTCAAGAAACAGGTCTGAAATTGGAAAGATATGAAATGTTCTTACCGGAATATATGAGCCGTATTTCATGATTCGCACGTGACAGTTTGGGGAGAAGTTTGCACAGTTTTCACAAGTTGTGGGACGAGCCTAAAAATCAAGATGGAGGTACAGCAAACAGAAAACACAATGTAGAAACATGCAGCAGACTGACTATTGAATGGATGAAACATGCACACAAGAAGACTCATTCTTTTTTCTTTTCATCGATAATTCAATGATACTAAACATTTAAAGACTGGTTTTTACTAAGGTTGAATGGACAGAGTGACATCAAAACAAGTGTGTAGGAATGATTGTGGTTTTAAGACTAGATCTAAAACTGATGGGGTAAGCCTAATCATTGCAATAACAGGTATCTACGTTGGTTTGTTCTACTGATTAAATGTGTACAGTATAGTACATTTGTATAACTGAACATGTTTTCATATTTAACCCCTTCTGTATCGCGGGTAGTAAATCCCGGAGAAATGTGGTCGTTTACCAGACTCTGGGCTAGGAAAGCCAAAGCGTTTCTATTAAAATGTAAGCAATAACACCCATTTGATATATTTCCCTGGGATATATCCAATACCCAATCTGATAACGCAAACACAATGTTTGCCTTAACAACTTCTTAAAAGCCCAATTACACAGGAGGATTTAAATGGAGCGCTAACACTGAGAGAAAAGGGATCATAAGTGCCAATTATATAATCATGTTGATGTGATTTCTAATTTCTCTAAAGCTGAAACGCACAAACATGTTATCAATATCTAAGAGATGTATATGAATTACTCAACATACAAAACAAAAACAGAAACAAAAATGAACATAAATGATGCACACAGAATCTAAACTAAAATATATTTTTCAATGAAATCTTAACTTTACAGAGAGTAGACTTTTTTCAAATGTGCGGGGATTCTGTAGTACATGTAAATTATACTTCTCTCACGCGGATTTCATTTTGATGAATAATTATGGATACCGTTTATCAATATTGGAAGGAGTGCCTGTAAACAACGGTACCAAAACATAATGTTATTTCTAAATAATACACCGGAATAATGGGTAACAATTTTAGATGTTTAGTGTGCATCATGTTGAAACACTGAAGAAGGGATAATAATGATTGCCGCGTATGGATTAAGAGGACATTTAGAACCTCAATACTATGATCAGATTAACCACATTACCCAATTATATTATTTCTTTACTACAAATCACCATCTAACAAAGCAAATATATCAGTATCGGTATGTCCTTTTTCGCAATAGCACTGCATTTCTCTGATAGACTCTGTCACAATGTAATCACTATTGATTATATACAGCAAGCGAATTTTCGGAAAATAACTCAAGTGATGTTCCTCAGTGGTTTAGAACGACGCCATGTTAAATTTGACACCTCTGCTCAAGCTTGTAATTCCATGCTCGATCTCGTGACAAGAATGCGACAGAGTATTACAAGCACGACAGAAAATCTCTCGACATTCTCGGCTGGATGCTCGTAGTTTGTTAAGAGAATTTACTTCAATAAATAAAACTAGAGGGACTTGAATGAATTGAATTCCTACGTGTGAGTGCGTGTGTGGGTGTGTATGGTGTGTAACTAGTGCCTTACTTCTAGGAAGGTTGTTTGCTACCGATGGAACACGACGTTTATTGACTCACGGTAATGACAAATGTTTTGTATACTTCAAACACAAATGTACTAAAATACAGATAAGCAGTATATGCTCTTAATATCGGGATGTCCAAAGTAGTGGGACGAATAACATTGTACTACGAAAACTTGATAAATGAAATGAAAGGAAATATATTCGCCACAGGAAATGAAAGCACAAAGAAAATATTTTCAAACCATTTCAGTAATATTATTCACGACACAACATAGGATTCATCATATGGGACTGGATTGAAAGGTTTCAAGCTCTGTACGACAGCTGCATGTTGGTCATATTCATTTCCCTTGTTTTCATTTTTGCACCGTCATATCAAGAACTGTAATTTCCTAAAGTCTATCAAACGTCACGACAAGAGAAGTGAAAAGAAAGAAAGAAAAAAGACCACGAGGCATGGTTTAATCAAATGTTTATGGATGATGTTACCTTGTATAGCCTCTCTTTCGATTGGCATTTCGTGACATTTTCTCTGCCCCTGCCCAGTTCATGAATTCAAAATTAAAGTGCCGAGGACAATACAAAGAGAGCACGTGTTCCCTCCAGCGGAAGAAGCAAGTCTTCACTTTTTAAAATGCCATCAATCTAAGAACGACCTATTATTGCGATTGCCTCTGCAAAGCAGTCGATTCTTCGATCGTAGATTTCTAGAAACTTCCTTTTGTGGTAAAATCTGTTCCACCAACCCACTTCTTATAATTATCTAAGGAGAAAGTCATTGAACTTCTACGTCAAACTAAGGTTAATTGTAACAACAGGAAGTGTTTTTATTGCAAGTCTCTTAAAAACCTCCCGAATACCGATCATTCGAAAGATAAATCAAACCTCCCCATGCGAACTGGCGTGTTTCTTGGGGCTTGGTATTTCACATCTAGGCTCATGAATTTAAAAGATCGTTAATCTGAATATATAAAGAATTTTCCGAATATCCTTGAATTCATTCGATTTTCTTATTACGTTTCATTTAATCGCCATTTATATGTACACATACATCATATATATACATACAATCCAGTCATCCGGCTGAACTTATATTTGTTTATAAGATGGATAGGATTGTTATGTTTCTATCGGCTCTATTGGTCTCTTTGAAGTTTTTGTCATTTTTAATGGCCCGTCTACTTTTTCGTGGAGAATTAAGGCGTTATATTAAATACTCTGTGGATTGGACTGAAAAATTGTTGAAAGATTGCCCGTATTATTTTTCAATCTTCCCATGCAAGTGGTCGGTTCCCTCTTCCACTTGACACTTCTCTCTCACATTAACAGAATTTCCTCTTGTTTTTCATTGGTAGAGCATAAGCACATTGTATTTAAGGATTGCCTTCGATTGGATCTTCAGTTCTTCATTAAATCCTAAACGTCCCAATTTGAGAATGCCTCGCAGACTAGTTGACCCTGTTTTTGCCCCGTTGGATCGATATTGTGGATTCTATGTCGATCTCGACCAAACATGCTAACTAATGTCGTTCACCCGGTCTTAGGAAAGCAACATGGCTGGCTCTTCTGCTTAAGTACTACCACAAATTTATTGTTATCCTAATCAACAACTATTCAAGCTAACAAAAATCAACATTTCCTCTACATTACCGCTAGTAGAAAATAGACAGAGGCTGTTGTAGTAGGTCCATGGTTTATCTAACTCATTATGTAAAGTTTGCAGAAACCTTTTTACAGTATTTAACCTGAAGGTGATCATTTACCATCGATATTAATCCAGTGTTGAACCATACTACAGCCATCGAGGTGAGACTATTTTTAGTTTAACGTGTTTTCCCTCCTATTTGTAATGAATTTTCTACAAAAGCAGACCTATTTGTCTCCTCGGAGACAGTTTGTCAGAATGCTAAAAGTGGCTTCGAAATTGCCCACACGACTTTCATCAGGATATTGGAGAGCACTTTAAGGAATTTAGCATGGTGGAGGCTCCGACGATATAAACAGATTCGGAAGATTAATGAGGAATGAAAGGCGAAGTTCACCTTGTTTGTCGTGTTCACTCAGATGACTAAGTTTGGGATCGTGTTAAATGTACAAGAAAGCAACAACAAAAAAGGGACGACCAAATGAAACATAAATGAAATTGAGCGCACGATTCTGTGAACATAACGTTTTACCAAGTTAGTGAAATGTCAAGACACAGCTAAGAATGGTATGTGATCGCATTGTTGTTGTATTTTTCTTGTTGTAATCTTGAATAACACAAAACACGCCCAAAATGCAGAATTAAGCTTATTCTTTCTGGTATGTACAAGAGGAAGATATAAATGGATAAAGGAAGAATTTTTATCCATCGCATGCAATACAATAGACCCGTATCTTATTTTGTAAATATGTTGTTGTTTTTTCATGCATGATTAGAAGGAAAATCCAAGCGACATTGGAATATTATTGCAAACCTTTTTTAATGTCATATTTAGTTCATGGAATACCTCTTGTTGGCACTCAGTATTATAGTTAACGAGGCATTTAACATCTACAATTCTCAGTATTAAAGTTAACGAGGTGTTTAACATCAACCATTCTTGTTCACCTAGTCTCCCGGATTAGGTTTTACTTCCAGTGTTAGTTTTACGAGAGGAAAATGTGAGGAGAGAAAGATAGGGTTTACGAGACAGATGCTAAATCAAAATGAACTTGAGTTTATCATCAATACGTAAGAGATGGAGCCCACGTGAAGAGATTTCATGCTGATACAACCTGTGACATTAATATCTATTTTACAAGAAATTGTGCTAGTGGTGCAGGAATAAGTCAACTAGAGTGGAAGCTGTACAAACATGTAGCGTGTCTGATCGGTTGTACTGACTGTTATGTGAGACAAAACATTAGGAGAAAGATCAGATATAAACTCCGCCTTTGGCTTCATATTCACATGAGAACGACGCAAAATATCTGCAAAGACCTGTATAATTTTTCTTTGAAGTTAAAGGTAAAGACCAGTTATGGTCATGCGATTGCATTGTGAAACAAACGTTGTGGAATCGATCAGAAAAGGTTGATCATCTAGCATCTAGCATCTGCAAGGTTTTGGAATCGTCAAAATGATAAGAAATTTGGCCCATTCTTCGTAAAGTTACAAGCACTATACACAGAAAGATGTATATGGGACTACCCTATATCTATCACAGACCATGAGAGAAACAAATTTACCAAATATATGAATTAGTAGGCGGTTTCCCGGCAAATTTTTTTATCATCATGTATTAGTCAAAACATATTCTTTCACATGATTGGTAATGAGAGATTCCATTTCATTTTTTGAAATTGGGGCGTTTCCAATACTGGTCTTTACTTTTAAGAGTTCATGGGCCCTTTCACCGAATTCTTTTATAGGCAACAATAAAAAAATTATTAAAAAAAAAACTCAAACTTATGGTGAAACTGTTACTGTGATATATTCTAATTTTAATCATTTATTATCTC